AGGAAACGGGGAATGTGTGAAGTTTGAGATTGCTAAACACTGTGACTCTCTCAGTGCGTTCTATTTGTAGTTTCACTGTTCTACCACTAGGTTTTGCGTGTACGCATGGTAAGAGTTTTGCTTAAATTTACACATGTTCCTACGCACAAGTACAAGTTGATAAATCCCATACTTTGCGTGGGAATGTTCTTACGCACTCATTACGCACACATGTGTGCGTACGCATGGTTGATAAATGAGGCCCCTGGGACCTTTAAAATGCATGATTACTCCAAATCAGTCCTGATTTAATATTTTTTTAAACAGAAGGGAGAACACGCTCCAGTGTTGCATTTGTAGAACAGCCAATAGGAGCGCCCTCGCTCTCAAGTGACCTGTGATAGGCTAAAGTCTCCCGTCCTGAGCTAGATTTTCTAAACCCTGAATACAGAGCCAAGAGGAGGTGCAAAAGTCTGGTTTTTGCTCAGGACACTTGAATTCCAATATACTAAAAAGGTATTATGGGTTTTTGGCTCAAAAAAGCGCTTAGCCCAATTTTAACTTTGTCCAAACACAAAACATACATACTGAGATTATATCCTTCTTAAATTCTGTAGTTGGTTAAAGCCACAGTGTGTGAGAATTACTCCCATCTAGTGGTGCGCTCATAGAATGCAAACAACCGAGTAGTACTCTCGGGCACCTCCCCCTCTAAGCGCGTCATTACCACTACGGAAGCTGCAAAGAGTCAAGAATGTGTTAATATGTCTATAACTACACTGGTCACAGAAGAGTCCACGGTTCTTACTGATGTCTACGTTTACATTTAAGCCACTTTCACATCGGACGTGGAACGAATTTTTCGCATGACAGATTACATTCAAAGTCAATGCAAAGACGCAAATAATATTCGTGTCTTTGCATTGACTTTGAATGTAGTCTGTCGTGCAAAAAATTCATTCCGCGTCCGGTGTGAAAGCAGCTTTATACTTCCAAGTGAGTTACATGGAGCACCGTGAAAACTATAAGACAAACAAAACGGTTTCAATCGCACAGCTCAAAATCGGCAATTAAAATACTCTGCGTGTTTCTTTGTGTTATACTACCAAGTACAACATTACACGAAAACAGGAAATTTAAGCAATCAGGGAGGGAGACATGGCGATTCGAAATAATTATTACTTGGAGATACTTTTAGCGTTAGAATGCTTGCGGTTCTAGAGATTAATTCACTTAGTCACCAAGATGATAAACTGGTATCACTTTGGTATATTCTGTCTGACTAGAGAGAGGACATCAACCCCCAACCCCCCCCCCCCTTGGCAAATCAGCTGAAATAAATTAGCATGAAACACGAGAAAAACGCTCGGAAAATTTGGTTGAAAGAGTTACATCACGCACGGTCGCCTACTACTATGACTTATGTGCAGAGTAACAGCAACTGAAAACTGTTGCAACGGAGCTTTTCCAATTCAAGCTAACTAACAAACTAGCCGTCACTGCCATTTTATATTGCAAGTAACAGCAAATTACCCGACTCAAATGGGAGGATAAAGTAGTTGCTGGACTACACTGTCCTGGTTCTAACATTATGCCAAAATAAACTTCACTGTTAGATTTAATTACCTGTCTAGCAGAAAGGTTGCAACCTCCGCGTCCGTTTTCAAGTCCTTCTCGCTCATGAGTCATCTCCATCTGGGAAAAGCTACGCCGATGTAGACTCTCGTTTTATCCCGGTCATGTTTTCTTTTTCTTTTCTTGGGTGGTTTTCATTCCCTCTCATGGGGCAAAAAGTATCCATGGTCCTCCATTTCAAGGGAAAGGCCAAGTTAATGAACCGCAGGGTGCTTTCAATAACACAGTCGTCTTTGCTTGCTTCTCCTCCCCGCCCCCGACAACACACAGGGATTTAAAGGTAAAACACGAAAGGCGAACCAAGTTTGTCCCCTTTCGGCTACCGCATTCAAAGATGGCGATGCAACATGGCAGCCTCCGGTGGGTGCACCACCACCTATGTATTTGTAAACAACTCATTCTAAGCTACAAGAAAGCTTTCATTTGTATGCAATTGTATTAGACTTCGGTAAATACGTATTTATGAAAGCAATATTTGATTTTTGCTAATAAAAAGCCAAATAAGTTACACACTGTACCTTTAATGATTTAACTGAAGCTCAAACATGGGAGTCACTTCGATTGGTTCATTGGTGGAATACTTGACAATGGATCATGTAATTCATATAAATGAGCTATGGTGTTTTTAAAGGGGCATTAACAATACTTTCTTTTAGTTTCTATGTAAGCCACAGCCATATGTGGCATGACTCTTTTAAAGAAAAGCTCAGGTATAACCTTGGGCAGAACTGTCTAAATGATGGCTGAAATGTCTAAAAAACATTTTGTCTAGTCATAAATAAATGAAATAATGTTGCTATTGTTGAAGCCTTTGATTTCATGTCAGTGTTTCTCATTATAAAATGAACTTGCAGTGAACTCGCTGTCTTACTATTCAACCTCCTTACTTTGCTCAGGGTCCGCCAAACGCATTAAAAATAGCATCCCATTCTTCACATAACCAATTCTCCACACAAGAACAAAGTTTTGCTACACGCTGCAAGGCTCAAATTGACATGGTTCCTTCTGAGAGTTCCTTGTGCACCGAGTGCATGCCAGCCCCTGTTATTATCATATTTCATCACTTATGCAAATGGTATCCTGTTGCAAGAGCCGAGAACTGAGCTCCGCGAAATTCCCCCAAAACATATGCAAATGCACCTGCTGTAGGGGCGTACTGACCCCCGCCTCACCTCTCTTCCGCCCATCTAATGGTGCTCATGAGTTAATCCCCGGTGTTCACCGTGCCAGACAGAACACTGCCGGGGGGAAGGTACACATGAAGACACACACATTCTTACACTGATGTTCTACGTATGTATTCGTGCATGAAGACTCACAATCAAACACGCACACATGTGCAACATCAGGACCTCTTTCATTCTTGTCCTATACTCTGTCCATTAGATGTGTGTTTTGCCACCTGCATACTTCACCTGCAGCCCAAAATTTGAGTGAAGGACTGACCTAGTCTAAGGACCTGTGGATTATGTGTTTGAACAGATCTGTCAAGTAACTAGAGCGTTAAAGGACATATAAGAAGAGGCTCTGGGCTGAACGGTGGCCAGTGAACTCATTTCTCTTGTTCTTTTCTTGATTCAGAATGTGCATCATTCGTCAAATGCTAGTTTGTGACTTCTATCTTCAGTTAACATCACATATCAGCTGTGAATCTCCTGTTTTATAAAAAGAGGTCTATAGTAATTGTTCTGTTAGTTTTATATCTGCACTATGCTATTGTGCTTACAGTGGGGAGACAGATTTGGCTCATGACAAGATTGGAAATGACTGGGCTTGGGATCTGAATCTTTGTTTTTTTTTTTTTTTTTTGAGGCTCAAGACCATATATTATTGACCATATTGCCACATAATGGTAGAGTGATCTGTGGACTCCTGTTGAGAATGCAATCTAATTGCCCCACATAGGGTAGAAGGCTGGACTGGTAATCTGGCGTACCGGGCAATGCCCGGTGGGCTGACGCACATTTTGGGCCGATGCAATCATAGTTTATAAAATTGTAATAACATTGATAATTTTGAATGACCGCGCCGGCCTTTAAAACACAGAAAGCGGCCCATTGGTTCATTTTCTACACTGACACAGGGCTGGCCCAATGAAATCTCTGAGCCCGCTCTCCTCAGGGAAAAAAAAAAAAAACTTAATTGCATATGACCCGTTGGTAGCCAGTGGCCCACGTTAAGGCGAACAAACAGCAGGATGATTCTATCTTATTCGAAGAGGACTGTCGTACAGAGAAAATCAGTGTACAGTTTACGCCTGCCTATCTTCTCATTATGTTATGCTGAAAGCTCTTCCTGACATTTACCAGTGGCGGATCCAAAGGGGGGCGCACAGGGGCGCGCGCCCCCCCTTTTTCGTAGAAAAGCGAAAAAGCCAAGCGCGCATAATTCTTCAACGAAGCTCAAAGGTAGACCGTGCACGCGTATCTTAAGGGCAGTCATCATCTTTGACAATTTCTGAACGCACGCTGTGGCCAGTCCTCACGGTTTATACACCACTTTTAATGGTTCAACTTCACTATTCCGGTTGTTTTGCATCATGGCAAATTTATTTGGATCCAATTGTATATATTTGCTTTATGCGATAGGAATGACCGAGAAACTCTTTTCTTGCAAATAAAAAACGATACATGGACTTAAGCTATGTACAATTTATTTTATTTTGTTGTTTTCATCCTAAAGTTTCAGAAGGCAGGCTTGCTGGGAAATTTATTCGACCAATGGCCTTGCTTGTCTCCTGTTGCGGGAAAACGCGTTTCAACGACTACAGACGAAAATGTCAGAAAGCAATGGAAAGGCTTCGAGAATAAAGTAAACGACATTTGAGGCTCAGCCTCTCAAATGCAAAAAAATGACCAGCTGTTTGGCTGTCCTCGTAGCAAGCAGTTTTCATTTGCAGGGGGACATGGAAGCGGTAAGACTGACGTTAAATTAATAGGCTATCGCAAGTATGTGTTCGGGTAAAATTTGCTTGAGCTTACAAAAGGACCCCACTGATGGACCAGTTGTTCATTGCCTGCTATTTGAAGTATATTGATTCGTTGTTTTACAGTGGCAAATAAATTTTGTCCTGGAATACAGCAAGGAAGACTTTCAAATTTTCCTATTTAAAACCCTGTCTTGACGTTCAGAATCACCTGCCAGTAAACTTGCAACCAGCGAGTACTGAGGTTCTGAAGCTAGTGAGCGATTCTATTCCCTGTAGAGTCTATAATTAAGATATGTAATGTTATTTCAAAAAGGTTATGTATGAATCAATCCAAAATAGTGCAATGGTCTTATTGAAAAATTATAAATGGCCCCAAAGTCACATTTCCTTTTCACATTCATTCATGTAAATATATTATTAATAATAATGATAATATAATAATAATAACTTCTTCTTTGTCATGGTGGTGCAGTGATTAGCACTGCCAGCACACAGCAAGAAGGTTGTGGGTTCGATTCCGGCCTGGGGCCTTTCTGTGTGAAGTTCCAGGGCATGTAGGCAACGACTGAGCTTAATTTTAACTTTCGGTAACAGCGTAGTGCGCGCGTGTGGCGGGCCGTCACATCACTATCAGGTTGGGCCTCCATGGCCGAAAATGCCAGGGCCATTTTTTTGTCCCAGTCCAGCCCTGGGTAGGACCATAATATTTGCACATCTGCACTGTTTCTGAAAATTTTACTTAAACCCCATCAAACCTACGGACCCATATATGGATCCGTCCAATGCAGTGGCTGTATTCAGACCTGTGGAACTTCAGACCTATTTTAAATTATAGTGGAGATCCAAAGGTTTCCAACAATACCAAATATGTGCTGTTAAATTACAGGGAATTGTGTATGAAATGTTTTATAAGACCCATATGTTTTCCATTTTGCTGTTATGATGTGGCCATAAAAACAAGGAGTCCTGGATATAAATATTTCTCCTAATACTAAGTTTGATATAGCTTCAGTGCAGCGCTTCAACCAGCAGATGCAGAATATGTACAACCCCAATTCTGAAATAGTTGGGATGAAATTGTAAATTGTGAATTAAATCAAAATGCAATGACTTTCAGATCACATGAGCCAATATGTTATTTACAATAGAACATAGATAACATTTCAAATTTTGAAACAGACATTTTACTTCTTTTTTTTTTAAGACTATTTTTTGGGGGAATTTTTCCTTTATTTGATAGTTATACAGTGTAGAGAGACAGGAAAGTTGGGGAGAAGAATGGGGAAAGACATGCACCAAATGACCCGAGCCGGAATCAAGCCCAGGTCGCTGCGGGAAGGACACAGCCTTTATGGTGCGCGTGCTTAGACTGACGAGCCATCGGGGCGCCCCACATTTTACAGTTTTATCCAAGACGAGCTTATTTCAAATTTTCTGGCTGCAACAGATCTCAAAAAAGTTGGGACACAGGCATAAAAGGGCTGATAAAGCAATTAATATATAAGAGAATCAGCTGAAAGAACATTTAGCAAGTAAATAAGTTTACTGCCATCAGGTGTGTAACATGATTAGCTATAAAAGGAATTTCTTAGAGAGGCTGAGTCTCTCAGAAGTAAAGATGGCCAGAGGCTCTCCAACCTGTGAAGGCTTGCGAAAAAAAAAATGTGGAATACTTTAAAAACAATGTTCCTCAATGTCAAATTGCAAAGGCTTTGAAGGTCTTATCATCGATAGTGCATAACATCATCATAAGATTCAGAGAAAATGGAAAAATCTCTGTGCGTAAGGGACAAGGCCGAAAACCTTTACTGGATGCCCATGATCTTCGGGTCCTCAGATGCCACTGCATCGCTCACCGGCATGATTCTGTCATTGACATTACTAAATGGGCCCAGGAATACTTCAAGAAACCACTGTCTGTAAACACAGTCTGCCGTGCCATCCACAGATGCCACCTAAAACTCTATCATGCAAAAAGGAAGCCATTGTTGAGCATGATCCAGAAGCGCCACCATGTTCTGTGGGCGAAGGCTCATTTAAAATGGACTGTAGCAAAGTGTTCTGTGTTCAGACGAGTCCAAATTTGACATTCTTGTTGGAGATCATGGGTGTCGTGTCCTCTGGGCTGAAGAGGAGAAAGACCACCTCTCCTGTTATTAGCATTCAGTTCAAAAGCCAGCATCACTGATGGTATGGGGATGCATTAGTGCATATGGTGTGGGACTCTTGCATGTTTTAAAAAGCACCAGGAATGCTGAAAGGTATATAAAGGTTTTAGAGCAACATATGCTCCCCTCTGGACGACATCTATTCCAGGGAAGGCCTTGTGTATTTCAGCAGGACAATGCAAAACCACATACTGCAGCTATTACAACAGCATGGCTTCGTTGTAGAAGAGTCTGTGTGCTGAACTGGCCTGCCTGCAGTCCTGATCTTTCACCAATTGAGAACATTTGGGGCATAATTAAACGAAAAGTCCGTCAAAGGAGACCCAAAACTCTCCAGCAGCTGAAAGCCTGTATTAAACAAGAGTGGGATCAAAGTCCAATGGCTAAACTCAAGAAACTTGTCCCCTCAATGCCCAGACGCCTCTACTCTGTGTTAAAAAGAAGAGGGAATGCTACAGCATGGTAAACAGGCCCCTGTCCCAACTTTTTTGAGACATGTAGCAGCCATCAAATTTGAAATGAGCTAATTTTTTGGATAAAATTGTAAAAATTTCTCAGTTTCAACATGTGCTATGTTATCTCTGTTCTATTGTGAATAAAATACTGGCTGGTGTGATTTGAAAGTCAATGGCCCTCATTAATCTAACTTGCGTAGGATCTGGTGTAGATTCTGGTGTAAATATCAGCGTTCGCCAGGTGTCACGTCTGATTTATTAAAAGTGTGTACGTCGCTGATTTCAGTGTAGAACTGGCGTGGCGTTAATAAATCTGGCGGCTGAAACCATCGTAATTTACATGACACACCCCTATAAATTCATGCTCCGGGAGGCATAGTCCTGCCCACTTTACGACATGGACTCTGGAAAGACGGCAAAGAAGAAAGAACTTGACTGAGGAGGAAATATAAATTATCACGTCTGAGGTGGAGAAAAACACAATAATTTTATTTGTGAGCCTTAAGAGCGGCATAAAGGGAGCCCAGAAGGCCGCAGTTTGGAAAACTATTACTGCTGCGGTAAACACCGTTGGGATGGAAAACCGGAGTGCAGCAGAGGTTTGATTTAATTCATTAATAAATCAAAGTGACTATTCGCACTTATTTAAGTGCGTCCAAGCACAAAAATTGATCGAAATTCGTGTTAGACACACTTATGAGTATGGCCAAGATGCACATTTCTCCATTGCCCACATTATTTTAAGTGTGTCCAAAGCGAAAAATGTTTTTCTTGGCCAAACTTATTTTAAGCGGTACTTTATAAGCAGCACTGGAATGGTTATCAACTGGCGCGCTTATAAGTGTGGCCAAGAAAAAAATTCAGCATTGGCCACGCGTATAAGTGCGAATAACATCGGCCTGAATAAATTCAATTTATAGATCCATGATATTTCATGTTATATAGCCTACATAATTGACAATCCAAATGCTTCACATGTAGGTTAAAAAAGTGGTCCGATTTTAAGATCGCCACCAAAAAAAAAAAAAAATGGGTTGCTGCGCTCAGGCGCAGTAGCGCACGGACCGGTGGAGGCCAACCAGACTCGAACCTCCAGCTGTCACCGTTTGAGGAGCGCGTGGCAGCACTGATGGGCTCCCCCTGCATCGTGGGAATGCGAGGCGGTGGGGACAGGGATGAGTCCCGACCGCCTCGATCGGAGCTGCATGAGGGTAATTGTTAAAATACAGTCTGCAGAAATCACTCTTCATTGTACTTTTATTAGTATTACTCCGTGACATTTTATTGGGTACCACACAAAACGAGCAGCCACTTGTCACTTTCCCACTTTCCCGGAGGAGATCCTCTTTGTGCCGAAAGTTCCACTCACGTCGGACAGAAGCTATTGCTCTAACAATAGAAGATCTGCCATTGTCAAAATGTGATCACGGTCAAAGTGTCTGTAGGCCTATACTGAGCAACAAAAGAAACGCAAGTTAGCTAGTTATTTAATATACTCTTATGGTTACTCAGTCAAAGTGACCGCAAAATAAAGAAAGGTTTGATGAAACGAATGTAAATGTGCACGCGCTAGTAATACATTTGATTTTCTAAAATAATTACGCGCAAACTTATTTTCCAGTCGGCCTTTAATTAACTTGCTTTTCTTTTGTTGTTCAGTATATATCTGAGTGGATGAGCATCTGACATTCCACACTGCATATCTGTCAAGCCGCACATTGCGCTTAATCAAATTGATTGTAATTTACGGCCGTCTGGGCTGACAAGCAGGTTGTTTCAAAATATAAGTTTAATTCATTTCTCAACACAGGTGTCTTATTTATTTATTTATTTAGCCTATTTATTCATTTTAGAGCAACAACAGCATGACGTCCGCATGGCTGCATATGGTTTATTACTCATTTTGACAGCTGCACTCGTTCCTGCATGTTGTATGCTGGTTTAAAATCTGCGTATGCCTGGTCAGACCTGGCGTGAGATTTTTGCGGACCGTGCCCTTACATTCAGATTGATAAATGCCGATCCTTGCGGGAGATTAGGCATACACCCATTTTTTTGGTGTGCGCACGTTTGATAAATGAGGGCCATTGTGTTTTGATTTTATTCACAATTTACACTTTGTCCCAACTATTTCGGAATTGGGGTATATGACATTGTCCTACAATATAAAAGAATGCTTTTTATGACTTTAAACTGAATTGAAGGAAAACTTAAGTGAAAAGTGAGAGTTTATGGGTTCAACTGGTTTATTTTAGTTTTATCTAGACACGTTCCACTTGTTGTCTAATAAGCATGCTCTAATCCAAAACTCCAGTCTGTTAGCAACTTTGAGCAGAATACAAACACTGCCAATTTTTTCCTGTTATGTATGAGCCTACTTAGGCTTTATAACTGTATTTTTGTCACAGAGACTGGAAAATTATTCAAGTGAAGCAAGACATTTGGAAATTCAATTACAATTCAATTTAGGAATTAAATTTCGGAATTTACGGACGCTGGCGTCTATGTCTGTGTAAAGGGTTTAATTCTCAAATTCTTAAATTTCATATACAGTGTAAAGACATGTAAAATTAATGCACAAATTGATACGAAAATTCATCTGGCTGGATTTCTCCGGTTTGCACTGTGCCCCTTAGCATAACAATTTCATTTTATTTGTAGACAAGTGCACATTATTTATAATACTATAAGGTACAGATGGGCTGTTTGCAGCAAAGATTATGTATTTTTAAAATCAGGCTCATAATACTTTTTTGTCATTCGAATGATCCTGTTAAGCAAAAATAAGATAAACTCCACTAAGTCATGTGTCAGGTCATGACATTCTGAAATATGCTGACAAACACAACCTTGCTGACATGAATTTCCGGTATCTAATCAGAGGTTAGCGAAGGAACATCGCCATTT